CACAGAAATGTGTAGTTCACACGAAGGGACTAGTCCCATGAAACTGGTCGCTGGGACTAGTCGCAGGGACTAGTCCCCTCGTGTGTGCCGACCTTTATGTTTCACTGTAACTATCTAGGTCACTTTAGGTACAATTGAATATTTTTATGCAAAGTTTCTACTCACCAATCTGGTAAGAAGTTCAACACTGAACAGGAAATGTTTCTTGATTTGCCTTTCCATCTCAGGGTGTTTTCGGCAGATGAAAGGGTGAGACAGCAGGGTCAGAGCCTGGGAACAATAGTGCGAACTTCAGTACAAAAATCTTATTTTTCAGCACTTGTAGTGAAAATTGGACTGGTGTGGAGTTCGTCATACCAATCAGTCATTTATTAAGGACCGTGGAAATTTTGGATTGAGATTCTGAGGCACTAAATGGCGTCCTTGATCTCCCTTGTCCCAAGACTGGAGTTGAGACAGAAAAGCCGAGTGGATTTGGATTTGCTCTCGGCTACCCGGAGTTCAACTCCTTGGCTGCTCTTTGTGTATTGCCAACTTGTCTGCCTCCAGCCAGTTAGGGTTCTTAAACACTGCAATACATTTACTTATTATCTATGTTTCCAGATGGTTTGAATTAATTATTTCTAAATAAATTTGTAAACGTATGGAGACTTGCGAAATTCGTCCTGAGAACTGTTATCATCATTCGATTTGGCCCTGAAACAATAGTACAGATGAAATAACCAAGATCCATTGTTAAACGCACAGATATTTTCTGTGCTACATTAAATTTAGAACTATTAGGTTTGAATACATCTCCTCAATGGAGAATAATTCTTATTTCTAGAGAAACCGCAAATCAAGAATAACAATCATTATGTTAAAAAGTGAAAAAAAAAAAAATTGGAGAGGATCAGGGTCTAGAATGAGAAGGTTCCATGTAATTCAGGTCATCTTGAAGACGTACCAACCTTAGTTAACGCATCTTGTGGATCGTCTCCTTTTGACGTCATAAGGAGCAGGCGCAGTACCAGAGATACATTGATGGGAAAGTTTCCCACAAGCTTTGGGATGTTTGCGGTGATTAGGCGTTGGACTTTACGATAAGGGATTCCGAAAAACACAACATTTCCCACGGGATCAAAGCCTCTTCGACCCGCCCTTCCAGACATCTAAAAGAGACATAGTAGCAACCACAATTCTCTCTTTACTTTGAATCAAAACAATGCCTTTTTTTAAAGAAAAATACAATCAACAGCTGTATACCGTGTTAAATCGACTCATCCATCAATATTTCTGGAAACTTTTAAGTACCTTTGACAAGAAATATTTCGATAAGATCGATGATCTTCGTGATTATCTTGTTTAATGTTAGCACGTTTCATTACTAAACATTCAACTAGTCTGTAAAGTATCTAGCGTCAAATAACCCACCCTCTTTTTATTTATGATAAGTTGACGCCTGATTAAGATGGATACCACTGTGGTACCACTGATCTTATCCACTTTCAATGAAATTCGAAATTGTCCAAGTACCTGTCTGTACTGTAGCGAGGTAAGGAATGGAGAGTCTCCAGCAAACACAACTGTCTTACAAGGCATATGAATACCAAGGGCCAGGGTTCCTGTTGCCGTGACAACCTAAATATGGACAGTAGAACCTTTTTACGTCAACGTCAAGGAAACATCATCGCTTGATTTTAGGACCTAAAGTATTTGTTTAATCATAAAAATCACACAACTGCGTTTATTTTTTTAATGGAGGAAAGAGATCTTGTGAAATCGCCAGCATTTGGACGAATTTTTGAATTTTGACACAACCCAGTAGATCTCCTCATAAACCGTTTGGAAGTTATATTGCCTTTGAAAGTCGGTTTTCGTCCCTATAAAGAAAGCTTACCTGAAGATACCTCTCCCTAAATAGCATTTCCACGACGGATCGCATTTTGTTGTTTAGTCCAGCATGATGGTAGCTAATTCCTCGCTTCAAGCCGCGTTTGAAAGGGTCCCTGCTGCGCTCATTCCATATGCGACTCATTATCTTGTTGAAATCCTAGATGATAAAAATAAAAAATAAAATAGATAAATAAATCGAATTAAAAATAGATGATCAAAGAAAGAGAAAGCTAGTAAATTACCAACATAAGCTCCCGTTTGATACCTAACATACCTCATTTCCAATTCCGTGGGTAAAGGCAAGTGTACATTCAGGTAAAGGCTTGTCTAAATCCTCTCCACCTTGATCTTCTCCTTCCATCTCATCTTGCTCTTCTGTATGGCCACTGAATCCGCAGAGAGAAAATCGGATTTCCAGGCAGAAAATTAAAACTAAAAAAATTTATAGCTATGACAGCTGGGAATTACGGTCATTTCGCCCCATGTTCATTTCGCCCCCAGTCATGCTTAACAAAACTTTTTTTACATGCAGTTCATACTCTACAGGGTTACAGTTTTTGAAATTCAATCGACCATCGATCAACGAGCGCATCAACAACATCGGCATGGCGTCAAGATCACATTTATAAATGGGACGACTATAGCATCGGCTATGCAAATACAATCTTGTAAGCAATATACACTTGACTTGTAACATGGAGCGAAGTAACTTTTGTTTGGAGCGAACTGACTTTTGGTTAGGGCGAATGACTAAGGGCGAAATGACTGTGGGGCGAAGTCAACAGATACCACACCAGGATATAAATGCAATGTCGAGATTCTAGATTGTTAGGTTTATGTCATGAAAGGCATTTCAACAGTAATCTAATAAAGCTAAAATAATGGTTTACGAAAACTCCACCTTTTTCCTTTGCGCTTCTCAGCTTTATCTCTGTTCCTTTTCGCTATCTTTTCAGCTTTAACTTGCTTCCTTTCCAAAAATTTTGCATTTCTCATGCCAAGTCGTGCTTTCAGATCTATTTCTCGTTGTTCAAGTTGAACCGTGAGATCTTCCGCCAGAACTTCGCAGAGCTGACGATCAAAACTGTTTAAAGAAGACGTGAGTATCTTGTTATGGGCATGCGGCTGGAATTATTTTTTTCTCTTGATTTATGGTAACGTATAATCAGTTTCATGGGTGGGACAATAAGGGCAGAGGCCAGGAGCCAGGGGGAGCACTACTCCCCTCCCCAACGGAAATTAGTTTGGGCGGCGATTCGGTATGGATTTTATCGATTGCACTTGCAAACACTGACAGCGGTTAAAAACATTCGTTCTCGTGTTCCATCTATAAATCAATTCATCAAGATCGCGCTGAGCGAAATGTCGTAAGATTTTATTCTCAACTGCATATTTTTATGCATGGCATAAATCGATGACAGAAACACTGGTCACTTTCAGAATAGCTAAGAGATTTGCTTGTGCCAACAAACTATACAGAGGACACTTTGGCAAGTTTGAGGTAGACAATACACGTGAATTGAAGTACGATGAGCCCTACCCTTGCTGGATTGAGGTGGGAGGGGCTTGACCTTCTCCTTTCTTCAGTAATTTTTAAATTATTTTTTTGTAAAGAACCACCTCAGAGTGACTGTTAGCGAGTTGTTGCTGCAAAGTAAGGTTATGCAATATTTCCTTTCTTTTACTTTCATCGTCCCTCGCCCCCGCTCTTTAAACTGCATGCACGCAGTAAACATGTTCGTACCTGAAAACCAGGGCTGGCAACTTATTTTGAGCTCTCAGCTGGTCAACGAGCTTTGTGAAATTATACCGGATGAAATCTGTACCAGATGAAGGCTTTTTCAGCTTGTTCCATTCCTCCTCAGTTGACAACCCCTTTTGAATGTACTCGTCGTTTAACGACCGAATAACGGATTTCACCTGGAGGAGGACATATCACTCTAAACCTACAACCTTTGTGATATTCAGAAAGACTAGAATCTAATCATCTTTCCACGTTTAGTTTAGCATCAGCTGTTTCGCAACATTCTTTAGGCTTTGTCACTTTGCTTAGGAAGCGATGTTTGTACCAGAGCAGAAAAATGGTTTAAAAACTCAAACAACATCTACTTAATTCAGAATATTCCATTTCAAAATCGCAAAACTGCATGCTTGAAACTCAGTAACACTTTACTATATTGTCTACATTTCTATAAATTTCCCTTCCTGTCTGCCTCCCTCCCTCCCCCCTTTCTCTCTCCTTCAATCGCTTTTTCTCTATCTAATCAGTAATAAAACTTGAAATCTGGTAAATAGCAGAGTAAAGTGATTCCTATGATCATAAGCGTTTGTTATTTTACAATATTGTCAGAAATTCTAAATTGAATTCTTCAAATGCCTTCAAACTAGACAAGAGCCTTGGGAATGTCGATAAAAGAAATGGCAGTCTTAATCTGAAACAGTTTGCCAATCCCAAGAAACAAACGCAGGCTGCATTTAAACGCACGGTCGTACGCAAATATTCACAACACTTCCTTTTTTATTATATATACAAAGCTAGAAGATTAAGAGAAATTATTTAAATTTTTAAACTAAACGTTTTCGGCTGTTTGCCATCATCAGGGTGATGATCAACCCTGATGAAGGCAAACAGCCGAAAACGTTTGGTTTAAACATTTTAATAATTTTTCTTAATCTTTTAGCCCTGTATATGTAATATCTTTTATTAAGCGAACATTATGGACATCACTTCCTTTTTTGTTACCTTTTCCACCTGCCCTTCATCCGCCCAGGACTTGAATTCTGCTTTTACCTCACTCTCGTATTGCCGAACATGGTCTTTCTGAATAAACTCAGTTTCCAAAAAATATTTCTCTGGAAAAAGTTTCTGCGTGAAAAATTTAAACTAATGACACAATGACTAACCCTTTTGGAGTATCACTGTGGTTTGGGTTAACTGAAAGTTCATGGCGTAAATAACATTTTTCTATTTTGTTTCTTTCATCGAGGGAGTCGTTTGTTTCCCGGATAATCTTTATCAGTGCTCAAAGGCACGTATGATGAAGCGAAGTTAAGGACATTGGAAATGGAATAAGTGAAGTTTCACTCTTTTCCATAGCAATTGCGACTATTATTAATGATGTCATTGCTATTTTATCAAGCTCGTTGCTACAGGCGGTCCTTTGATCGCTTGACTAGATAAATTACCGTCTTGAATGGTATTCATGTACGTCCACATTGGATAAGGAAGTGAATGATTGAGCACTTGGTGTAGCCGCTGAATCGATCGGTTAATTTTAGAGTCTTTTAATCCAGGTTCATCAAATAAATGGCATACAAATATTTTTCTGAAAGTAGAATTACACAATCGAAACTTGCAAACGCGAAGCAAAATAAAGGCAAAATGAAAGTATACAAAGCCCAAATAAACCGAAATATCGAACACTTACAAACAATCTGAGGGTTCCTTCGCAAATTAACTGAAAAATGATCGTCGAAATCCATAGGATGAAAAACGATTCTCATTCACAATCTTCAGAACAAAATCATCATACACCTGGCCGAACAAGATCACTCGCTCGGCCTGGTAACAACTAAGAGTTGTGTCATGTTATAATCATGAAATGTCCGTTTGGAACCTACACTTGTTACATAATGTCTAATGCTGTACAGAATGAGATAAAGCGTTGGTTTACTTATCCGAAAATATGAATTACTTCCTTCTATAAAATAAATGAGAAACTACGAGCGCCCGATCGGTCAAAAACCCATCGTTTATTGCACCGCTACACCAAAAGAATGTCGAAAAATTACCATCTTATTTTAAGTTTATTTTAAGAAGGGTTGAAAAAGGCCAAAACGTTTGTAAATGTTTTAAGTTTACAAACTTTTCCCGTGTTCTCCAAACATCCCGCGTGAGTTATTTTCCGGTAAACCGATAGAGGGTGCTGTCTATTGCATAGCTGAGTTATCTCCTAACCTGTAATGATTCCTTTTCAGGCCAATGCTGAACCATGACGTCATACAGCCGCAAAGTTTCTTGTGGAGTGAGAACCATATCACCAGGCAAAGAATTTTCTCGCAACTTGTTTGAGAAAGCAATTGGTTAATAAACCCACATAGATATCAGCCTCAGGACAAAAGTATGATCTGGTCTTGGCCTAGTTTACTTATTTTCGGTCATCTTCGAAATTAAAGGATAAATCATGCGGCAATAAAGCCTTTAACCTCCTTCGATCACCTGTCCGAGACTATTCGTTTTTAGCTATGACCCAACTTTGTGTTCGTGAAAATTGTTCTTAAGTTGCGATACTCAGTAATACGTGGCACAGCCCAACTCCAACAATGATGTCACTAGCCCCAGTCTCAATTTAACTTAACCTCGCGGCATATTGCTAGTATGAAGACTAACTATATTGTTGAATGTTAAAAATCAGAAAAAAAGGCAATAAATACTTTGATAACTCTATGCTCAGCCATTTTTAGAGTTCTTTCTGCCCTATCACGGAATGATGCTGTTACTATTATTTCCATACCTGTTTGAATCCGAGCTGTGCACATGGGTGAAGTCTGACAAACTCTTCCGTGCCCTTGAGTTCGTAAGTACCTTCATATTCTTGTGACTTACTTGAAAATCCGCCATTACTGGGACTTGGAAGGTATATACTCTTTTCTAGATCTGAGTACCTCTCAGGACAAGTAACTTGAGGAAATGTCAAAAAATTTGATTATTACTAACGGACCTGTCGTTTGTAAGAGTGGATAGGGTTTTGGTATTTTTCCCTCTACTTTTTTAAATTTGTATTGAGCCAAATTAATAAAAGTGGACTTAATTAAGAATTAGAGCCGACCGATTGAAAATAACAAGAAATTTCCTTAAAGCGTAAAAAGATATTAAATAAAATTCAAATGATGAAATAAACATTGTGTGATTCGAGTTTTGTTATTAAGAGCCAAATTCTGCTTTAGCAAGGATAAGTCCGAGTTCCCACTCAGTTCTGGCCAGATATATTCACGATTTGACAATATACATCAGCACAATTCATGGATATGGTTCTGCTACAAAAAAGTTCGGCTTCTGACTTCAAACCAGGACGACTAACCGACTAAGCTGTTGCAAAATGAAATTATCTTACTCAACTGATGAAGAGGCCGATTTTCTCAATTACTTAATTAATGATATTTGTTTAAACTCATGAAAAGCCGACACATTTGAACTGGTTCTTTTTTTTTATCACTTTACCCAGCCTTATTTTGTACGACGTCCTCAGCTTGACATTTTCTAGCTTGTCTTGCTGTTCACGAAAGTCTTGGGAAGCTTGTAACCACCTGTAATAAAAAAAATTCAGGATTGTTTACATGAATTGAGTTAAAAACCAGTTAAGAGTGAACACGTGACATCTTGAACCCAATTTGGCACGCAGAAAAAATCTTGCAGGAATCAGTCAACGTTTAATTGCACAATAATTTCTTACTGCATGAGATCATCTGGATTTCCAATGGTTGCAGAGAGTGCCAGGAAGGGACAACGAATAAGTAAAAGGAGATGCTCCCAGACTTCAGCACCGATCTCTTGACCAAGACAATGAACCTGCGATTACAAGATAAAGGTGAAATTTTATTATGAAGCGAGAAGTGTACTCAACTCAAGATTTCAGCTTCATGCAAAAGATGACTAGATTTCAATGGCGATTAAGCACTGCGAAAAAAGTAAAAAGTTTTAAACCATGTTTTAAACCATGTCTTAAAATGTCTTAAACACGAAGGCGCGCTATATAAGGAAGTCTTCCCTGGGAAGACCTTGGCTCATTTGTCACTCACCTTTGACGTGTGCGGGTCAAATTTAAATGCTGGAAGACGAACAAAAGGAGCTAATGAGATAGCTGTTGTTAACTTCCACCAGCATGGTGGCATGAGGTAACGTGCGAACCACCTACTTCGATCTCAAATTTACCGCCACAAATAAAGACAGTTTCCATTGGAGAAAGGAAATACAAATCTCAAAAATTCTTGTATTGTGATGAAGACATAAAACAATTTTGAAGAATGCGCCCGCTTTTGACTGCTTTGGAGTAGCTGTAGCTCAAGCTGACTTGAATCTAAGAGTTCTACATCACACGACGGTTCATTGACAAATGGTCCAGTGGGACCTAAGGCTCCTTTTATAGCGCGCCTTCGTGTTTAAAATGTTGTGTAAAACGACGACGTTTCGACGTTTTTTTGATGTCATTATCAAGTCAAGTTAAAATACTAAGTGGGCATTTAAGTATTTGAAGAATTCCTTGGAGGTATGAGTACTATAGCAAAGTAAAAAATACTCAAAATGTTTGGGTTTCGCACTCTTATCTTTTTCCACTCGCCATTTTATGACTTCACTTATAAAAACAGCTTCGAGCAATTTTTTCACTTCACCTCATCGAAGATTACGTATCTAACGTTCTTTGTCCAATCCTGTCGACGGGGCGAGAGAAAAAGTATCTCCAAACACTGAGGAACTGTAACAAGGATCTGTCGGGAAAAAAGAAAGAAACAAGTAATTCTGAAATAGAACTTGAACGCAATCAACGTGCCTCAAGAAAACATATATACTGAGTTACTCAGCTTACCTGAGAATTCAACGTATTGAATCGATAATCCCTTGTGAAAACACCATACACTGCTCTACCCTCTGGAAGCTGTTTACGATGAAAGCGAGCGTAAACTGTAGCAACAACTTGATTCACCAAAGCCTAAAAGAGAAATTAAAGCATCAACTTCCGATATTCACGAAAGAAAACTGATTAACTGATGATATCAGTCACTGTAACTGACATCAGATTTTTCCACGACTTACTCCAGGTTAGGGACGTTTAGCCTAAATTTAATTCATCTGCTTTGACCTCCTTTCCCGAAGGTTCTAAAGAAGCCTTGTAAAAAGCCGTAAGATGCGAAGTAACAAAAAAAACAAAAAAAACAAAAAAACAAAAAACAAACAAAACCAATACCATTCCTAAAATTTCATCCATTGTGTAAAATGAACTTATTTGCATTTTTACGATGGCCTGGGCTACCGGTGAAGACAGTCCAATTAGACGAGATGGGGTCATCGAATCAGGCCGAATTAATTTTGGAGGCCTTGAAAACTCACACGTACAGGTTTAGCTGGTATCGTTACCTTCGTTGGGGAAACATAGACCACAACACCATCGTTGTCTTGTCTCAATACTTTCTCCATGCAGTAGTATGAGGCGTAAGTCTTTCCTGACGAGGTGGGTGCCACTACTATTGCTGACTCGTTTTTATCCACAGCGTCAAGAAGTTCACGCTAAGGAGCATTTAGAACAAATGCATGGGCAGATTAAAGAGGGAACTACAACATATGGCTTCTTCCAAATGGGTAAACTCCTTACCCTGGGGGCACTATGATGCATAGTGCTATGAAGGTTAAAGTTCTGAAACCTCCACACCTCCCTTGTTGGGTCCCCCGTAGCTAGTTTGGAGGGATTTTTGAGCCCGGAACTGAAGATCCTTTTCCTACCCCTGTCTCATGTTAGCGTTGGGTTGACCTAATTAAGTTTACATAATCGAAGGGTGTTTGATAAAGAAAACATAGTTCCCGTATCTCGGAACAAAACCATCGATTTTTCAACTAATTAGTTTTAATTTGCATCTTATAGTAGGTTTTGATTCCCTTCTCTTTTTCTCCTCTGATCACCACTTCGCATAACTCTATGTACATATTCGTGTACAATGAAATGTCAAAATACCTGCCATGTATCTGGAATAAAATGGTCGACCCTGGGGTCGGGGTCAGTTCTTTCGGCTCTTTTCAGCAAATGGCCCATGTGCTCAAGTTGGAATCTTACGCTTGAGGTATGGGCAGATAGCTCTTTAGTCTGAAATAAGAAATTAAACAGTTAAAAGACGAGTATAGGACGATAAACCGTAGGCCCAAAGTCCCCCGCAAAGTGTTACAAATTAACTCAGAATACCCCATAGGAAGAGAGTTGATAACAAACTCTACTGCACTGCACTGTGATGCTGTAGGTATCGAAACATTCATATTTATTCACGTACGCCTCCATTTTAATGAAAAGAAACTTTCTTAGAAGCAGCTTTAGAGAGACAAACGATAACCCTCTGCATCATGTAGCAGTAGGTCTAGAGCGTTAACTAGTAGAACAGTGCACCTCAAGTCATCCACTTCTATGAATTTCTATTTTAAGTCAAGAACATTCCCGAAAAGGATGGCCCTTGATTGTTCATAGCTGCTACAATTAGATCAAAATTTTTCATGGCTATTAAGTAAAAATGGTCTCTTTTGGAATGAGCAGCCAATGAGAAAGGAGGGAAACATACCACTTAATTGGTCTGGATCAATCAGAATCAAAAATGGGAAGAAGAGTTTTCTTCCTCTCCCATTTACTACTTTGTCTAGGAGAGACTGTTTTGATAATATTAAAATATTGTAGAATGTACAGCGAATAGCGACAACAAGAGGAACCAAGTTCCCCAACTATTCGTCTAACCTTTCTCTCACGTTCTTCAGCTCGATCGTAGAACATGGATGCGATATCACTAAATCCTAGCTTCTGCATAAATCCAGACAGTTTCTTTTTGTATTCAACGGTGAGAAGGTCTTTGTAGCCATTTGCCATTTCCTGAACACTTTCCATCAGAAGGACAGGATATTTCAGGTCATTAGATTCAGGATCAAGAGTTCCTTAACAAAAATATGCCGTCATCGTAAACTTTGAGAATTTTTGTAGTAATCCCAATTTTAAAAGCAAGTCTCTATTTTTAACTTGTTTAGTCATCCCTTAACTACGTTACATGATTCGGAGAGGAATACCAATCAATAATGAAAACACTCTACTTGTCCCTTTTTTTTACGCACTTGTTTGTTGCCAGGCTGCCATGAAAGTCTTTGCTTTTTCCATCAGTGCATGAAGACGGAGGTCTGGAGATTTGCAATCTGCGAGGTACTTATCGACCAACTGAAGAACAGTGTCGTGGTTGTCTTTCTTCAGATTGCTAGCAATCTCTTTTTGAAAATGTTGCCACTTTTCTTCATCTTTCTCTTTCAACTGCCCTGTGGAAATTCAAACTAACTTATAGCAGAGTACTCGACATTTCTCGTCTTTTGTTTCGGAACAGCTTCGAAACGACAGAAGAGGACGGGGCGCTTAACCAGAATCTTTGCTACTCTGAGAAAAGTTTTTGTTTACGTCATGTTCGAGCAAGAAGAAGGCCCCAACGTAGAATGAAAAATTCTTTTTACGAACATTAACCTCTACTTGGGAACATAGGTTCGGTGAGTGAAAGACAAACCTTGAATCCTTCGTTCATTTTCTTCAATGATCTGTTTCTTCTTTTTCCCCTAAAAATATATCTTATTAGCATTCTGTTTATGTACCACATGTTGAGAGAGAAGTGTAGCAGACTAGTATTGGCCACCCGCGGGCCGCGAAATAATTGTGCATCATTCAAAAAGAAAAGTACAACAAATGATTCTTGTTGTTGTTATTGTTGTCGTTAGCAGTGGACTCATTCTAACGTACCATCTTTAAATCCTTGTGTTTTCCTTTTTTTTTCCTTGATCCATCTTCGGTGACGGTAATAATTTTTGCATTATCGACGCCACCAACGAGTGAGTTGCCATAAAGTCTATGATAGCGAACATACTTCATCTTGTTTTTAAAATACCATTTTCTCTCTCTTGGATCGGTCGGAGGCTTGTCTGAGTAAAGAAAGGTGTGGAGGCATTTAGCTATGGGTATATCAACCAATCTATTCATGAAACTATAATCATGATAGATTCCATTTTTTACCTTTAAACTGTCGTTTCGTCCTTTCAAAATCATCGGTTAGTGGCTTAAGAGTATGCCAGTAGTAGCGTTCGTCAAATTCCTTACCACTGTTGAATACTTCATTTTCAGCCTCATCTCTGAGATAAGAAAAATAAACAAACCACCATGTAGAGAGTATTTTTGGATACATTACAGCAAATATGCTATTTTGAAAGATCTTAACGTTGCTGCACATTTTACCCAGCCAAGGCGTTCATTCTTGATCTGATTTCCCCAGCATACTCATTTACAAGAGCACTGTCCACTTCAAGGAGCTTCCTGAGATGTAAGCAAGCATCGTCGTCTGAATTGCCCTCTGAAACAAACAAGGTTGAAATTTAACGGCTAACAAGACCGCTTGTCGAGGCAGTTTCTAATAAACCAAGCAAAGGTTTAATTAACGAATTCCAATACCCGTCTTTCAACCGAATGAGCTCATGATAAGCTCAATTATATTCAACCGTTTTTCACTTGTTATACTGTGAGCTTTCCTGTTGCATAAAAAGTATGTTAACAGCCGAATAAACTCATGATGAGCTTAATTCTATTCCTCCATTTTTATTTTTTACAATTAGCTTTCCTGTTGCCGAAAAAGTATATCAACAAAATAAATTGGCAAAGATTTTAGCAATGTCGTCTAAAGGTAACTGAATTAAAAAACAAAATATTTGTACGTGATTGCAATGATTAGAATGCACAAAAAGCTGCCGTAGCATATTTTGATAGATTGTCACCAACCTTCTACGTGGTGAAGGCCAGTAGCAATCCCGTCAAACATAGGGAAAAACTGAGATTCGAGCAAATTTGAATGACGTGTTCCATTTGCAAGCGTAACAACTTTCCTCCACGCACACTCTGCCTCTCCTATCACATCCTCGGGCAGACCTAGTTCTAAAACATTTGGGGAAATATTAACAAACCAAAAAAAAATTCATACATATGCAAAGACCGAAAATTTTGCAAACACTTCGTAAATACACTGTTTAGCCACATCCTGTGAGTCCAAGTTATGTTTGCCACCTAGTTTTACCTGGAGGCTTAACCAGTCGTAACAAAGTGTTTGTCTTCTTTGAAATAGGAGTTTAAATTAGTCCGTAATACATGGCTTTTCACGCAGTTAAAAGGTGCAAACGATTCCGCCTTTTTATTAACCATCTGAAACTTACAGTAATGAGGTGGTGCTAGACACTGAATGAGCAAGAAGTACTTTGAAGTAGCAGTTACTTATTTTAATTAACTTTCAGATATACTGATCATACATATATAGCTAACAATAAAGCAAAGAAGCAAGACTGAAAACAAATACAGAAAAGGGAAAAACAAATAAAAAGATTCAGGGTTTCCATAAGCCCTTGTTTTGACTTTTCTTAGTCTAAATATTTGAGTAAACCTTTTCCACAAACCTTCGGATTGTTTGGACGTTTGTTTCGCAAGACAAAAGAAGACAACATGAACCAAGCGTCCGTCCACTAAGTCTGCTACTGAAGACATGTCCAATGAAATCTTAACACTCTCGTCTCGGCGTGCGTCTTCCAAAGCGAGTTGCATCAGCTTTAGAATCTGCCATAAACCTGTATGAATCTGAGGCGTATGATGGGAAAGAATTGCTATTAAGAATTCTCACACGATATGCCCGCCCTAAAAGCCCCAGGACCGTTTCTCGAAGGTTCTGGTAACTTGACGGGCCCGTAAAACTGTTCTGTTTTCTTTCAAGATGAGGTGTTTAAAAGTTTTGAAAATTGACAATTAAAATATCAACTGAAGCAAGAAAGTTGACTAGCTAGGTAACCAGAACCTAAATAGTTCTTTATCCTTTAGAGTTTGCTTGTTTTTAGACTATAGCATCTGACCCGTTATGTTACCAGCAGGAGCCCGGTTCTCGTGGGGCCCGGTAACTTAACGGGCCCGCAAAGCTGTTCTGTTTTCATTCATGAAGGGGGTTTCAAAAGTTACAATTAAAACAGCAGGTGAAAGGAGTTTACTATATGCGATTCCTTTCTTGAGTCTTTTGGAGTTAACAGTTTCGAAAGCCCTTCGCCCAATGCTCAGTTCTAGTGTACTTTATTTTCTTTATAGGAAATAACAAGTTGGTAGAGGGCTTCATTGGATTTATATTAATAGTGCAGGGTGTAATAAGTTCCCCAATAGATTTCTGGAAAATTCAATGTCTATTCCGGTCAGTCATGGACGAATTTCTGATCTAACAAGGGCTAGAACTTCTTATTCAAACTGTAAAACCAGTTTAAAAGTATGCAATGACTAACAATTCGTACTTATAAAAGTATTCTTACTTTTCAATTATTACTAACCTCGTCGAAGGGAAAAACTTTGCCATCGTTCTCCTCGCAGAATTCATTTAGCAAGGTCCTTTTTATACTATGTGCTCTGTATTTCAGTGAAAGTTTCTTTAGCAGTGCAGCATGAAGGAGGAAAAGTTTTACCCTGTCTTGGGCAATCTTTAGAGTTTCCTGTATGTTAGTGTAAATAGAAAAACACTTCACCATTTCGGCTACTCTTTCCACATTGCTTGGAAATTTTTGACGTTTTTAGCGAGAAGAAGGGTACCAACCTCACAAGTGTTATCGTCGTTAAGGAGTTTACGGAGGACTTGCGCACAAGTAAGGACTGTGGCAAGCTCTCGGCAGCCGCCTTGTGGTGGAGATTGAAGAGCGGCCCTAATTTCTGATTTAACATCAATCTGTAATGCACCAATCAATCGAAATGTTTCACAGAACAGATCACATCGAGCCAAACTTCAAATGAAGTTCTCTTTTCAATCACACATACCTGATTCTCTTGAAACGATACCGGAAAACTGAGATTTTCCTGAGTGAATTGACCATTGCAATATGTCATCAAAATTTGCCATGTTTCAAACATTGGCCCTCCATGCTGAAAACAAAAAGATATGCACCTGAGGGTGATTTTCAGTTGGGTGATATTCATGCGTTTTTATGAATTTATGATAGTAATCATAGTTTAATGTCTTTACGTGGGGCATGGTTACCCATCCTTCCCGAGGCAGAGGCTCATGAATGAAACGCAAGACAACAACCCACCCATCCCACCCCAGGGCAGGACATCCATCACACAGTAATCTCGTGCGTGGGATATTAACGTCTCCTACCCCTAACCCTGCAGGAGACGGGACCTCCATTTATTCGTCCTTATCCGAGAAGACTAGAATATCTAAACCATTTCTTGATGTTACAGAAAGGCAGCATATTCTTCTCAATTACTTTACGACCTTGAGTGTTGGTCCGGCCAGGGCTCGAACCCTCGACTTCCCGCACATCAGTCCAGCGCTCTATCCATTGAGCTAACCGGGAGGCGGTTTATTTAACGTAGTCGAATTTAACGTAGGCGAATTTAACGTTGTGACATATTTCAAACCATGAAATTGACTCATCTTTCAGCTTTCTTGTAGAATTATAATCTTATAATTTTCCTATTTTTTTTTTCAAAGAACCGGGGGTAGAAGACGGACTTCAGTGACGTTTTATTCCAGTTTTTCTCCAGGTATGGTCGATGATACTCACGTAATACTTTATAGAAAGCATGTGTATACGATTACCTTCATGACGTATGTCCTATGTATTGACGTGGACTCGACGAAGTATCCCATAACTTTTGTCGCAGTCATCTCAATGCCTGACATGAAAACACAATTCAGTCTTTGTCCAAGAGAATGTAACAGAAGGCAGCGGAAGAAATACTCGACTGCCACGTCCAGCTTTTTGGTCTCTCTGGTCTCTTTCCACGGAATGTTTTCTGCGTCAGTTAGCATCAGAAATGCGGGCGTACTGTTATCAATGTAGTCTAACCAGCCCTCTTGCCAAAAATTTGCTATTGATGTGACAACAGTGAAGCGTGTATTGTTTTGAAGGTGAAGAATTAGAGCTTGTCGTGCCAGTAACATGGACGGTCGACTTTTCCAAATGATCTCCAAATCTTGGAAGAAGATAATACGGAAAACACCACCTAGGTGTGCAAGAAACGGGTGGTTAGGTGATTTCAATACAAATTAGTAGAGACAGCCTGAGCACGATTGTATTTGCTGGATTAGTAATTTTACAGGTATCTCGAAACGAACTCAAATAAAATCAACTTTTTTGCATTGGTCCTTCACAGTAAGTGAGACAAATAACAGAAGAGAAACCTGCATTGCAGCTTCACTTTATGCGTTGTAGTCTCTTTCCCATGGCTGCTGAATTTAGGTAACGTTCATGCATCCAAATATCCCTGGTGCATGTCATACTTCCGATAGTATACTTGGAGACATTGTCATTGGCTCACTTTTACCATTTCAGAGACCTTTTACACTCATCCAACTACAACCTGGGTACCATCTCTCTTTACGTTGCGTTGACGAGTGGTTATCATTTCGTTGATATTTATCTATTATGCTATTCATAATTAAATTCCGTGTTGTTGTGGGTCTGTTTGGTGATAAATCACAGATGAAATCAAAATGTGGTTATAACAAAAAAGTGGCACTTAAGGCGCAGCTTGGTGAGTCTCTGATGTTCTTACCACATTATGACGTCTCCTGTGATCGTTAACTATACAGACCAATGGTAAAGTAGCATCTATTTGTTTTATACGAGAAAACAGCAAAATGTTGTTGATGGTGACGTCATCTACGTGTCTGTTATTTACTAGATAATAATTGAGGACCAATCAAATTTCGTCTTGGATTCAGCTTATCATTCAATCTCGTTCCCAGACCTTTTCCGTCAAATTTTTCCCACCCCCAATTAAGGAAAAAGGCCCTAAGGACGAGGAACCTTATCATATAACGTACCGTGGCTCAAGTTGTAACTGTTTCTATTAATGTACTATTAATCTGCGCTGACCTTTATCGGTAAAGTACTGAAGAAAGCGTTCCAGGAGATAGGTGAGATGGAGAAACTGTCCGCCATGTTGCCAGTCTAAACTATTCTCGCAAAGAAGCTCCAACAGCAAAGAGTCCCCATCAATAAGAAAAATCTCTGCATCAACAAAATCTGTCAGGATGTTGATGTATCTGTTAAGTGAGGAAAATATAAAAAAAGAACAACTGTGATTCAGACTTTCGTTTCCGGAAAAATGATGTTCATATTTTTTGACGAACAAAATATCTTATCTCTTTGACTCCTTTCCCTCGCTTCACATAGAAGTGGCAAATTATCAATCTTAATATGACAGAGCACATGATCTATACACGTT